CCTTTAATTGAATTCACCCATCGATCATAACGTACATACATACATATCTATTCAGAACGCACAAAAACCTGTCATAGTGCACTCTAGCATAATGTAGTAGCTATTCAATTGTTCTTCTCGTTTGACTTTTTAGAGACTTCCTATTATTTTCCACATTTCCATTTTGTTATCTTTTAAATAGCGTCGTATACTTCTTCTTCAACTGACGCACCTTTACATTTGCTTGTTAGTGTTCATTGCCTAATTGGTTGTATTATGCTAACTAAGCAAATGCATTGTTCGACCCAGAGTCGCATTTTGGCGTTGTGCTGTCAAGAACACGTATTCAGTTGTATATCCTTTAATTTTTTTGCGCATGAACGTTTCTTACTTGCCGTGGGTAGTGAATGACTGATGGTCGACCATAAACATCAAACATCATGTCATGGGGTGTCCTCTTATATCATTTGTCGTATTGTCGTTCGCATTTTACGTGTTATACGGTTTGCTGTTTTACTTGAAAGTCTCTTCAGGTTGTACGTCGGTGGGTTGACTGCACATTGGTGTTAGTCGAATGGTTGTGTAGTACGTGCCTCCAATTTCGGCGTACTGGAAATTGTACGTATTATAATAATAATTTACTGCTAAGTAGTTAATTAAGGGTTTAACAAAATATATAAGGGTAGGGACATTGTTATTCAAGTGAATGGAAGTAAGTAATTAAGTAGCTAAATTGGGATGATGTCACGTATAACATTATAAACTAATCAATGTATACATTGCATTTTTGCTTAGCACTAATAAGCACTTAGGTACTTAGCAAACTACTAATAAGGAATTAAACTTCATAGGTACCTCGTAAATTTTCACACATATATGTATGGGCACTTAAACAAATATTATGAAATGACCCAGCAAAAAATCGGTAATCGCTTTCAGTGGTAACGTGTTCTAGAACGAGAATTTGTTTGCTTCTTTAGGCATTTCCGGTAATGCAAAGTAGAATGTCTTACAATATTTTTTTTATTTCGCTTCTTTGTTTCTTTTCGGGGACTGCAAAGTAGAATGCTGCATTGTAGTCGGCTGAAAAATAGAATTTGAATTTGAATTTGAAATAGAATAGATTTGTTCAATTTGCAGCAAAGTTGATGTCGGTCAATGAAGTGAAGTACAAGAGTGAGGAAGTACAATTTTAAGCTTAATTAAATATGCATATATGTACCTACTGATTTATAAAAATTTTAATCTTTTAAGACATTTTCTGATTTCAATTAAATATAACTAAGTATGTACTTATCGAAAGCGTAAGCGATTCCCATCGCCTAGCTCGTTTCCACTTTCGTTTCTGTGGTAATCGTGTTTTTTGCTGGGGAGGTTCTTCATACGGTTTAGCCGTGCTTTTAAGGAAAAAAATATAAGGGAGGAGACGAAAAGAGAGATGATTAATGAATGGTCACTAAATGTCAGCGAGTAAAGGCTTAGTTGTGTATACTTAAGCTAAGCTACATATCGACTGCTGAGTGGAAGATCGACCTATCTTGGCAGCCAGTTCGAAAACGCCCTATCTCAAAAAACTTTTCAAGAACGCCCTGTTTTAGAATTTTACTGAAAAACACTCTATCTCAGAATTCGCTTGAAGAACGCCCTATTTCAGAATTCGATTCAAAAATGCCCTACTACAATCGCCGTTCGAAGTCGGGGTAAAACTGTCACACAACATCAGGGCGCACCCCAAAAATCGGAGGAGAAGCTCGGCCAAGCACTAACATATGTGTGTGCTGTGACTCGTGTGTGCGCCACTGATACCAAGGAGAGTAGCCCATAGAACATCATCTTGCCGCTTAAGCGAATACAACCATACTAGTGTCGCTTCGCTTTTAATTTAGTACACATGTTGAGTTGCATCTCTAACTGTCATCCAATAACAAAATCACAAACGTTAATGACTAAGACAAGCAGCAGATATAGCGTCCTGTGGATTTTTATGGCTGGAAGGACTTTATGGTTACCCTGTTTACATTAATGAAGTCCGATGGTAATAACAGCGTTGCTACGTTTCTCATTACAATCTGTATTGCAACTTAAAGTATTTCGTTACGAGGAAACGTTCGCAGATAATTACCTTCCGACCTATGCTATCGCAGTAATCCTCCCAGGAGTCTCCTTGGGCTTTACTGTTGGCATTTTTAAATTACTTCAGGGATGCCTTGTAGGCAGTTCAGGAACCATTACGCACTGCCATTTTAAAGAGCTTCCTACTCTCTTACCTTAGAGAGGATATCTCCTTTATCCCCCAGAGTGACTTCTTCTTTTCTTTCAATAGTACAGTTGGACAGGAAGCTGGGAGGGCCGAGAATCGAGATGAGCAAGGTTTTGGAATGAATGCGCTGGTTCATAAGTGAAGACAGGATTTTTTTTTTATCGAAACCAGAAGAAGAAGCGGTATTAGGGAGAGTCCCCGATAATACATCGCTGAATTAAGTCCAGTTGATACACCTCTTGCTTTTGTAAGCAGCCAGAACGGGATATTCAAGGATATGAGAACGAATGGTCATTTACAATTTTCCATTCCCTAATACTCTTAAACAAAATTTAAAAGTTAAAGTAATAACTTGTACTTTCTTCCTTCTTGAGGCAACACATATTGACCTACTACAAAAATCTAGGTTTTATGGGTGTGGACCCCTTCCACCAGTAACCGAGCAGGAGGGCAATCTTGGCGATCGTGGGCCCAGTAGGTCGAGACTAGCCAGAGTTTCATGAAATGGCTGTTCACAAACACCGTGTACTCATCGCTGAACTGTTTGAGTAAAATGGTGCTGTCTGTGCAGGACTTCCGCGGCAACGAAAACTTTAGAATGCTGGCAAACTGCCTTCATTGGTACTTCGCATATGCATTGATTTACAAACCAACGAGACTTACACATCGGGTACCAACTGATCTCATGGAGCCACCCCGTAAAATTCTTACTACGTGGTCTCCACCACTGCTCATACAACGAAATATCGAGGCATTTTCTATTGCCATCGAACAGAGATCAGACGACATGTAAGGGAAACAAGGATATTTGGCCTTTTCATGGCTTTCATTATTTTCACATTCTTTATTGATATCGCCTAACAGATAACACATTCCAAAAAACATTCTGACATCTGCATCCGGCACAATGAGTTAACACTTGTTCTTTAAGAATCAGAATTTGACTTTGAAAATATTTAGTTGGCGCTAGATATTAAGAAGTTTCGAAACATTTCGGAACAAATCATAATATTTCAGCGCGTACACTTTTGCTATTTGTTTGAGTGAGATTATCCTCAAATTTGTTGTGTGTGTCTTGATGTTGCTACACAAATCCTCCGAATGGCAAATAGATTTAATGAGAAGCTTTTTCATTGCAAACGGAAGATTGCCTTTGCCTATCGAGGGGCGAGCGCTGTTTGGAAACCAATTTTTCTAATATTTACATATACATGTTGCTCGGACCAGGTATCAAACCTGCTCCTCTAACCACTCATCCGCAGCCGCCGCTTTCCATTTCGGAACTAGGCCGCGACTAATTGAGGATCATTTTGGGACTAGTTCGGCACCAACTCGAGCCTAGGTCGGGACTGATTCGGGATCATTTTCACACTAGTTCAGGACTATTTCTGTTCAAAAAAGGTAGCATTGCATTCTTATTCTACCACAAAAGTTCGAAAAATACCAAAGTTTCACGACTTGATTTTCTATAAGTCTATGCTTATTTAATAATAAAGGTTATCGAAGACTGATATTTCGGCCGATTGTGGAGAACAGAAGCATATTTATTATATTGTTAAGTGCTCTCAGAAAAGGTGGATACATTTGTTGGCCCTACTGCAAAACATCAGTCCATATCTGTGCGCATACGCAGAAAGCTCAACATACTCGAGGGCAAAAGATGTTAGGGCAGTGATTTCTTATTCTCTGGTAAAGCTTAGTTTGAGACGATGATCTTCAGAACGCGTCCTCTGGCAAGTTGTCCAACGCTAGAAGTAGATAAAAATTGAGTTTGCGTAGAAAACTTCTTTTGGAGGGATATGTTTGGAAACTTTCGATTGGGGAGCGGTCGACACTCGAACTAGCAGCAAAAGCGTCTCCAAGAGTGACCAAGAAAACCATTAACGATTAAAATATTTCATTTATTAATCAAACGGACATTTTAATCGTTAATTTTTAATCGTTAATCAGATTAATATTTTGCCGACACTGATCCAAATTCTCGAGTTTTTTTTTATTTTCAATTTTCACACGTTTTGCTCTAACAAACAACCCATCAAGTAACCCCCAATTTACCATCTTCCCCCAGGCAACATCGGTTCGATGATTTCAAATATGAATGTGGCACGCGTCGAATTTCAAAATCGCATGGACGGCGTCAAACAGTACATGGCCTTCCGGAAAGTTGGTCACGAGTTGGAGGCGCGTGTGATTCGTTGGTTTGCCTACACTTGGTCGCAAAGCGGAGCACTGGACGAGGAGCGCGTATTAGCCGCACTGCCGGACAAGCTAAAAGCGGAAATTGCCATACAAGTGCATATGGACACACTGAAACAAGTGCGTATCTTCCACGACTGTGAGCCCGGGCTGTTGGAGGCGTTGGTGCTGAAGCTAAAACTGCAAGTTTTTAGTCCGGGTGATTACATTTGCCGCAAAGGCGATGTTGGCAAGGAGATGTACATAGTAAAGCGCGGTAAATTGTCGGTGGTCGCCGACGATGGTATCACTGTATTTGCGACACTCGGTGCCGGCTCGGTGTTCGGTGAGGTGTCAGTGCTGGAGATAGCGGGGAATCGCACGGGCAATCGACGTACGGCCAATGTGCGTTCGCTAGGCTATTCGGATCTCTTCTGTCTGGCAAAGCGTGATTTGTGGGAAACGCTGTCCGACTACCCCGAAGCGCGTGCCACGCTCACTGAGCGCGGCTGCCAGTTGCTACGCAAAGATGGGTTGCTTGACGAAAGTATATTTGCGGGTGCGTATGCAAAGCTATTCACGAGCATAATGACTGCAAATGAGGTGAACTTTTCACAACAAAACCAAACTTTTTCAATTTACAGACTCTCAGCGCGCACACGACAGCATCGAAAGTGGCATCGAGAAACTGGAAATGTCCGTGGAGAATTTAAATGTACGATTGGCGCGCTTGCTTGCCGAGTACACGGCAAGTCAGGCGAAACTGAAGCAGCGATTGGCGAAGCTGGAGGCGAAGTGAGTATTGGGATGAATAATGTAGAAGTGGTGTATAAATGGCAAGTAGAAAAGGTGTTACGAAAATGAATGGGTGAAGAGTTGTGGGAAAAGTACTAGCAAATTCGGTCATTGAACTCGCCACGAGTTTCGCATAAATTTTTCTTCATCGAGAGTTTTCTACACTTTGTCTACTCCACTCACGCACACATACATATGCATATCGGCAGGCAGGCATAAATGAAGATAAATTGAAATTAACTGCAATTTCGGAATTTTTCGTCTTTTGCAGCTATCAATTAACAAGCAACTCCAATGGGGGCTTTGGTGCCGGCGGTGAACCACAGACACGTCCTCGCAGCGGGCGACTTTACTCACTGCAACCAAAAAAGCGAACGCGACAAAAACGTTTATTAACAGCGGCCAAGTCCAACGACAGCAAACAGAATACATTGTAAATATGTATTTTGCGCAGAGCATTTTCAAGCCAAAACCAGTGACACTACGAATGCAAGCAGCAATGGATGGCAACGACTCTATTAACTTCATTCCCTGGCACAATGATAAATAGGAGTTGGTAACAGCAGCAAAGGCGGTTGCAAAAAGGGAAAACAAGCGAGCAAATTAGCCATCTTTTTTGGGATGAAATGAGCAGAACCACTCGTCTGCAGCTGATTACCGTTTTTGGTTTTTCACGGCTACTCGGCGTGTCTTCTATGTCTGTTGGCATTGGCATACATATTTTTTTACTGTTTCTCTTGTTGTATGTATATGCTGTTGTAGTTGATTTTAAAATTCATCCGCTAAGCTACAAAGCCAAACCACCTTCCCTCTCTCTTATCCTAAGTCAACTTGCACGTGCCGATGCTCTGAGATGCGATACTAAATGGTGATAAATGAATTGAAATTCACAAAAACAAAAATGAAATATACCTATGTGTGTAAGTTTAAATAAGAGTAAGTTTAAAGTAAAATACAAAAAAAAAAACAAATGGATAAAAATTTATGTAGAATTTTTCATATACACGTAAACATACACAATACGTAGATATACATACATACATGTGCCTATGTGTATAAATTATATGTAAATAAATGTGCCAATAGTTTGAGAAAATTAATTTAACCACCCAAGTACGTACATATGTATGTATACATAAAGCATACGCATTATTTTTTTTTAATTAAATATCTCTACTTATGGGCAGAGAATAAGAAATGGTGAAAAACGTACTAAAATAATGTTTTTGTTAAAATTTGGTAAAAATTTCACACAGGAAACTTCGGGAAAAAAGTTTGTATTAAAAAAAGTCATATGAACATTAAAGTGGTCCAAAAATGTATGTAAAAGAATAAGGTCGGATTTTTAATGCCGGCACCCTCTAGGATTGTTCTATATCGAAAGAAATATACCCCTATTTTTTTTATTTTTAAATCAAAAAATATTTAAGGGGTGCTCAAAGCGCTCAAAGTTGTCCATGTATTTTGTATGGAGAAAAAACCATTTTTCGTAGAAATGGTATACAACTCTTAAAAATCAATATTTTTCGATCGGAAAACTTTTCTTATCTTCAGAAGATTCCCAGTAATAATACGCAATTCTCTCTTTAACCATTTTTTCATAGTAACTATATTTTATATGTCCTCCAAAACCCCTAGAAAATGCATTGGAAAAATCTTTAATCATAAAATATGGTTAAATAAACAATTGGATATTAATACTGGAAGTCTCCTGAAGAGAACCACAGTTTTCCGATTGAAAAATATTGATTTTTCAGAGTTTTATATCATTTCTACGAAAAATGGTTTTTTCTCCATATAAAATACATGGAAAACTTTAAGCGCTTTGAGCACCCCCTAAATATTTTTTGATTTCAAAATAAAAAATAGGGGTATATTTCTTTCGATATAGAACAATCCTAGGGTGTGCCGGCATTAAAATGCCAACTTATTTTTTTTGGACCACTCTAATGAACATACATACATATGTATGTATGTATATCGATTGTCCTCTACAATAACGACACAATCCAAAATTCAAAAAATAAAATACCTTCCTACTGTTAAGTGGCTCATGTCGCTAACCCTTGTCTAATCCATATCTAATTTTTACTAACGTAAGTAGTATAAGGATTAGCACAGTAAGTAGCAAACATTAGACATGGATTAGAAACGGATCAGAGATATGAGACACTTAACAGTAGTCAGAGTTTTAATTTTTTGAATTTTGAATTGTGTCGTTATTCCAGAAGAAATTGAAAATATGGAAAATTTCATGTCAATGGAGTTATTACTGCGATCCAATATTGATTTATGTATATGCGTTTTCTATGGAATTTTCGTATGTTACACTAAAAACTCACATCTCACGTGTTTTTGGTCGAAAATGGTGGTACACGTATCTTAGAAAATGCATTATCTTCAGTTTTTTAAAAAGAACAAGATTCCATTACGAAATTGTATTTAAATGAAAACTTAAAAAAGATATATGTAGGTATTAAATACCCGCTTTGAAAAGAAGAACATTTCTACCATTTAGTTTCAACATTTGAGGTATCTAAAATTATCAAAAATTAAAAAAAAAATCGTGAAATTTCAAAAATTACAAAATAGCTGCGACAGATACTCTGCAAGTGGAAATTTTTTTAATTTCGTGGTACACTCTTGAAACTTCACAGATATGTTGTACTTGATGCGAACGTCCTCTTATAAAAACATACTATTTAGAGACTTTCCGAAGTTATTTAAAAAAAAAAACAAATCATCATTCCGAGTGACAATAAGAAAATGAGTAATTTCGAAATAAATGTTTTAAGGCTAAAATTTATCAAATAATTGATTCATTTTTTATTTTACTTGTTTTTCGAACTCCATTGATTGAAATAAATGCAAAGAATGCTTTAGCGCTTTTTTCCTGTCGAGAGAATTGAGTGACATAAAAAAACAACTCGTGAAATTTGCTCATATATTTAGTATAGGGGAAATACCAAGTTAATGGAATAAAAAAATTTAGAAACCAATTTTTTACCCGGGTCATAATTTGCTTTACATGGAATTTTCCATATACAAGTGCATAACACATACATATGCACCTAGCTTTTATCAGTGCAATTTTTTTTCGGAGTTGCCTGCGGTAACTTTTGTACAAAATTCTATTATTGTTTTTAGTATTTCATCCTTTCCCATTCTCTCATATTTAATTTTTTAAATAAATGCATATGCCGAATATACGCACTTAAAAATATTCCAAATACCTTTTAAGTACACTCCCAAAACGCACACATTCACAGCTGAGAATTTAAACATATTTATACAAAAAAACAAATGGATGAGAACTGACTTATGTTTTATACATAATGAATTACGTTCCAATGTTAACACTATTAATACGAACATATTAAGTATTACATACGTTTTTTAAAACACACACATATATATACATATGTATCGTATATACAAACCAACATGCTATTGATATCTACGTATGCATGTACGTGATTATCTTTTTTTAGTTAAAGGTAAATTTTTAATAAAGTCACAACACCATAAGTGTTAACATTTAATACATGGAATTAACTAAAATTATATAAACATAAACAAATACGTTTGTATGTGTGCAAATGTTGATAGGTTAAACAGAAAGTTTTAGCATAGATATGAATAAGGATAACTAAATGTGCCTAAAATGAATACAAAATTCATTGAATTGAAAATATTTAACACTAAATATTATAAAAATATGTATAAATTTGTATTATGTATATATACTTATATATTTATTATTGTTATTCCCTATTTATATTTACCAAAAAGGTAAATATATTTTAAACAAAGACTTAAATTCTTTCACTTCTCTTTAAAAGTCTCGCAAGCGAACAAGTTAAGATGCAAATATTTATCCCAGGAAACTCTAACTTTTTTACATACGTTCATTCACATATGCGAACATTTACATACATACTTATGAACTTATGTGTACTTTTCTGTTTACCGCTTACTTAAATACGGCGCCGCTCCCTTGGTGCATGCGACAGAAGTTCAAGAGAATTTCCACACAATTTCGTTGCCATTAAACTGGGATGACACTATTTGTACATTTATACAGATTAGTACATTTTTCTTTAGAAGAAGTTCAGTTATATACAAAATTTTCCAAACAACCCAACTCTGTAACTGTCAAAATGTACAAATCAGTACAAATGTGCAAATCGTGTGATCCCTGCTATTGTTTACAATTTGGGGATTCACAAGGCGTGTTAAACGCTGCAATGTCTTAAATCTTAACATTTTTCTATGTAAATTAACGATTAGAATGGTTTTAGACGGTCCGCTCTGTACAATAACACTTTTATTTTCATCAGTTCAAAAACGTTTCGGTGTCGTTAGACTTAAGATATTACAATCCCCTAAATGTATCTTCAATTATGAACGAAAATATGAACAGATCGGCAATATTAAATTATTTATATCTCTCAATTTTTTACACATCAGATTCATAAATGAATTTTGTTGCATTGAAAGCAAGTAAGTAAAGTATTTCATTGGATCAGATTAATATTAGTTACGGCTTTACAGTGACGCACATTTTGCTCTGCTGCTTCGTGTTGCTCGTGACGCTGCCTGCACTGGCCAAAGTAAACAACTACCAGGTGTGACAAGTGCTTCATTATCCTGCAGGGACCAGTAAGAAATACTTCTTGCCTATTGATGCAAAGGAGCCCCTCCGTTATCCTGATTGATTAATTCGGGATGATGAACTTAAATAGCTAGTATGTTGCCTTCCATATTTGCCTAGTAAAGATGTACTTCTTCTTCATCTTGTTATAACCATCAGTATACCAAATGTAGTTATCCTTTCGGGGTTTATATTATTTATTATTCCAGTTCTTTCCATTAGGAAAATAACCCTTGAAGCTTTTTGTGAAGCTGAAAGATGTAAGGATGTGATTTTAGCTAAACCGTAGAGTCTTTCCCTGGCCCTTCATATATTCGGCTTCCATTACAGCTTGTTCTTAAGGACAATACCTAGTTTGTTTTCCGTAAACAAATGTATCTTTTCTGCTGAAAGAAGATGTTCCAATAAATTACCTTTTTTCCTGTTATGGGGAAGCAGTCTAACAAGTTGTCTGCACTTCCATCTGCTCAGGGAGAGCAAAATACTATATAGACCTTCTGAGACTGGAGGCAACATGAGTTTTGCCCACCTGTAGCCCCTCGATGCCTCCCTGTCATTTCTGAGCGAAGTATTCACCCAGTTTATGATGGTTGCTTTGATGGCCGAAGTGGGGAGTGTTATAACTGGTTGCGGGCCAAATGGTCGGAAATACAATAAAATAAAATAAAACAAAACAAAATTAAATAAAATAAAACTAAATAAAATAAAATAAAATAAAACAAGACAAAATAAAATAAAGTGAAACAAAATAAAATTACAATAAACTAAATGAAACGAAACAAAATGACATAAAATAATATAAAATTATTTAAATTAAGCTAAGCTAAATTGAGTGAAACGAAACGAAATAAAATAAAGTAAGAGAAAAAAAACACAATGAAGTTATATGAATAAAAATAAATTGAAATAAGTTACAACACAACAAAGTGATATACAATAAAATAAAACAAAATAAAATAAACAAAAATTAAATAAAAATAAATAAAAATTAAATAAAACAAAGTAAAGTAAAACGAGATGAAATGCAAGAAAAGAAAACAAAATAAATTAAAATGAAATAAAATAAAACTACGTATGTCACTCGTTACTCATCCGTAAACTCGATCTAATCTGCTTTCAGCCCAGTCTTCTTTAATAGAACTCTTCCTACTTCTCTGAAAACCCAATGAGTTATTTTTAAACATTTTTCTTCCCCGCTTCATTCACAAAGAATTGAATCAATTCATAGAGAAATGCTAGGTATAGTATTTATCGTAAAATTAATGACAGGCTTTATTAATAGCCCATACCTTCTGGCTGAGGAAACCTTTAATATGCCCGCACTATGTATCTAGTGTTAAGATACTTTCGACC